ATGCATGGAGCGCCCCAAAGCCATGCATGGAACGCATGACTTTGGTTAATTGTTTTGGGTTACAGGAGCCGTGTCCGGACGCTGCTGATGACCTCAGGGTGAGAGAGAGAGAGAGAGAGAGAGAGAGAGAGAGAGAGAGAGAGAGAGAGAGAGAGAGAGAGAGAGAGAGAGAGAGAGAGAGAGAGAGAGAGAGAGAGAGAGAGAGAGAGAGAGAGAGAGAGAGAGAGAGAGAGAGAGAGAGAGAGAGAGAGAGAGAGAGAGAGAGAGAGAGAGAGAGAGAGAGAGAGAGAGAGAGAGAGAGAGAGAGAGAGAGAGAGAGAGAGAGCAAATCCCTACGTCTGGCATACCTCCTGCCTGTCTGCTACCTACCTGCTGCCTATCTCCTGTATATCTGTTGCATGTATGCTGCTGTCTCCAAACTGTCTGAAGTCTGTCTGTCTGTTGTTGTCTCTTGTATGTCTGCTGCCTATTTGATGCCTGTCTGCTGATGTCTCCTGCCTACCTGATGCCCGTCCACTACTCTCTCCTGCATTTCTTCTGCCAAGTTTGTTGCATAGCTCCTTCTGTCTATTGCCTGTCTGCTGCTAACCTCCATCCAATCTGCTGGCTGTCTTCTTCCTATCAGATACCCGTCAACTGCTATCGCCTGTCTGCCACTGTCTCCTGCACGTCTGCTACCTGTCCGAAACTTCTCTGCTGCATGTCTGCTGCCTATACATGAGAAACACATCAGATACACAGTCCAGCAGACAACCTTTCCGGCCGCTACTCGTGGGGGAACACAAGTAATTCCTTGAAGGAGGCTTCAAGGTAGCAAATTTGCTCCAAGTAATAGGCAATTAAGGTAAGTACTTGGCACTGTCTTGAGGGGTGTGGGAGGTGGTTAGTGGCACTGTCTTGGCACCCTTGTCAGATGAATGTGACACCTACCCCCCCCCCCACCTTTGTATATTGCTGTGGTATGTGTTCACTCATATATTGTCATATACGTTCATATATGAGTGGAAATGGGTGGTTATAGATAGGAGCTGCCTCGTATGGGCCAATAGGCCTTCTGCAGTTACCTTTGTTCTTATGTTCTTATATTTTATTATTATTATTATTTTCTACCACAGACGTGGCCAGACATTCACAATGCTAACCAACATATATATATATATATATATATATATATATATATATATATATATATATATATATATATATATATATATATATATATATATATATACATATATATACATATTAGTATATTTTGGTAGCAGTCTTTCCTGTAGACATATTTTATTAAATATGACCGAAAAAGTAAGATTAATAATTCTAACACGAATTTTCTCAATCTTTCGTACATTATGCTTCACTGTTGGAGGTAAATCAAAAATCACTTCTCCAAAATTAATTTTTATTTCTAGTCTCATCATCGATAGATAATCATCGATAGATACAGCGATAGCAGGCGGCTTGACGTTTGCGAGGCACTACACATCAAGAAGTCAACACCAGCAATCAACAGCCAATTATTGCACAACTATATTCTACCCACCTCAAGACTCCGCTCCAATATAGAAGCATCAAGAAATATGGACCAATAGGCTTTCTACAAACACTTCTATTCAATATCCATTGTTTCGTGTTCTGTCTTGTGTTGATACTTTTAATACCCTATTAATATCCTCTAATGCCACATCATCCTTCCCACCTCACTCAAATGTAATGCCACATCACCCTTCCCACCTCACTCAAATGTAGATATAAAATCAGGGAAACGCAAGTTCTAATCAGTTGTGTATTTGTGAAGTCTTTGAAAATGTAATAAGTTTTACGAAACGCGCCCGTGTCGCGTCAGACTAGAAATAAAAATGAATTTTGGAGAAGTGATTTTTGATTTACCTCCAACAGTGAAGCATAATGTACGAAAGATTGAGAAAATTCGTGTTAGAATTATTAATCTTACTTTTTCGGTCATATTTAATAAAATATATACATATATATATATATATATATATATATATATATATATATATATATATATATATACATATATATGACAATGTCAGACCACGGAGGAAAAATGAAACAGGAAATTTCCTTAGCTAAGTGCTTAATTGCACTTAATTGCATGTTATATATATACATATATATATATATATATATATATATATATATATATATATATATATATATATATATATATATATATATATATATATATATATATATATACATACATTTTCTTCTGTCCTCCATGGACAGGGTTAGAGATTTGTTAAACATATAGTTCAAGGATTTATTGAACAATCAACCACAGAAGGTGATTGTATAGTGCTTTAAAATGCTAAGCTAACCTACATACGTAAATACATAGATACACAGAGTTACGTCTGCCCTACATAAAGTGTTCGATGTGTCTTTTACATAGTGTCATTAATGTGCATTTGCAAAGGTGAATTGTAATTCTGATTAGCTTCCACATATACTTTATACACATACATATACATGCACACACATATACATACATATATACACACACATACATTTGTCTCTTTTACTCCGACAGGGTGAGATAGCTGATAGAGAAACTAGTGTGCAATTAAGCACTTAACCACTAAAGGTGATTAAGATGCTTTTACAAGCTCAGGTCATATAGTTACATCACATACATATATTGTATAATTGATACATTACAGGGTCAATCTTGGGAACAAGTCCAATATATCATCAAGTGTTCCAGTATTCATATAGTAGTTACAGAGTTCAGCATACTTCAGCCCAGGAGGGCGAAAGTCAGTCAATATGGGACATTCTACAATATAATGTTCAAGAGAGTGCATGTTTTCTCTTTCACAAAGTTGACACATTGTGTACTCGACATTTGGGTGTTGAGAAAGCTGCCAGATACGTCTATATCCCAGGCGTATTCTGGCCACTATAACATCACATTGCCGGGTTCTTGTTCTATTAGTCCCATATGTGAATATCTCCTCACGATATCTATCATAATATCTATCATTATCATTGTAGCATTAAATGCTACAACTTTCAGGTCTTTGTGAATTTGTTAGGTCGGTTAGATTTTCATTAGATATTTTGTTTAAGTATTCTCTTTGTCACTGCTAATGAAACACCCATATCAATTTCTACCACTGGTTTTCTACAGGCTGTCTTTGCTAGCATATCAATGTATACGTTCATTCATGCGTTCACTCAGATATGTTCAGTCAATTGTGTTCGCTCAGATATGTTCAGCTAGCTGTGTTCTCTTCAACTGGACAAGGGTAAATGTTGATCTTGACCTTTGAATCTTTGAGGCTGAGTGGGCCGTAAGAGTATGAAGGTAAGAGTGTGGTCGCGTCGAGTGTAAGTCCAGGTTGGGTCGCCCAGGTTGGACTCCGGTTCAGGGTCTCCGGAACCCCCCAGTGATTTCAGCAGAGCTACGGGTTGTTGTTGAACGTTTGTACCACCGTGGCTGAGTCGGTTAAGGAAGGTGTCTGGGAATCACCAGAACGCGGGTTTAAGTTTTATTTATTTATTTATTTATTTATTTATTTATTTATTTATTTATTTATTTATATACAAGAAGGTACATTGGGATTGTGAGGATACATAGCATAGTAATTACGTTCTTGTAAAGCCACTAGTACGCGCAGCGTTTCGGGCAGGTCCTTAATCTAACACTAAAGTCATTACTGTGCTTCAAAATTTGTATCTATTATATTACAAAGGCTTCCTGTTCCAGACAAAAGGAATTCATTTTAAAATTTATGTAAATTCCCAATGACTAGTTTTAAGCGGTTCTCCGAAGATTGTCTGTACTTGTAATTGATAAGCACTACAAATTCTAAATGTATATTAGGCTTAGCTTTAATTTTTAGATTTGTTAATTTATATTAGTTTTTTCAAGTCGCCTGCAACGCCTTGACTGATACTAGCTTTCCGTGAATATTTCATATACACACTAAACTTGTTTTAATCCCAGTGTAGGTTCCTATAAATATCTAAATAGTCGCTACCTCTGAAATTTGAGGAAGAAAGATGGCGGAATTTAATTTAGTCGGTCCTTAGAAAAAAATACATTTTCTGTTACTAACAGAAGTGTTTATAGAAAATAGTTTGGGAAGACAAAACTATTTTTCTCAAACCCTTCATGCAAACTGCACCTACTATCAAGAAGAAGAAGAAATACTTTTGTGGTGGGAAAGGAAACCTGAATATAGACGTTTCAAGGTTATCCTACCGAAGAACAAAACCATCCACGCGGTTACTCATCCAATAACTAGCCACACCCAACTGCTCTTAACGTAACTGACTGACAAGATATACGTGCTAATCGTACACGAAAATTTGCCTATCTAATTCGTTTTGTCGGGAAGTGGAAGCCTGTGTACATATATACTTTAAACTTGTATCTAGGTCCCTCAAGGTGGAACTACTGACCCTCCCCAGGATGCAACTCCACAATAGTTGCCTAACTCTCGGGTACCTATTTACTGCTAGGTGTACGCAGGCATCAGGTGAAAGAAAACGTGCCTAACCGTTTCTATCCCGACATGGAATATCGAATCAGGGATCCACGATTGTGAGTCGAGAACGGAGACAGACTTAAAGAAAATGCAGGTCTATTGAGCTTTTGCAGTTTACTATTTTCTTATGTCATGTCTTGTAAGAGAATCATTCATTACCTAGGCACAAAACCCTATATTTTCAGCATTCGACTGTATTTGCCAATCTTTCATCTTTTCATATAAGCTTAGAACTGATAGTATAACTGACAATGTGTCTTCAACGTGTGATTGAATGTAAAATATTTCAGATTACAGAATGTCTGTACTGTAATGTATAGCATAGTATAAGTGTAAATACAATAAATAACCAATTAGTAAACAACAATTTATTTCAATACTTCATCCCATTTTTATATGTTTAACATCATAATTTGAATAGATATGCAAGTAAATTCAAATTATTTACAATTTCACCTATTTTATCAATGATGATATAGAAATTAGAGTAATGAGAAGTAAGAGGTGGAGGAGTTATGGGCAGAGGGTCATATAACATAGACGGAATGTAATGGCGGGGTTGATCACAGCGGTGGTATGAGTGCTTTAGTGTTTGGGAATGTGCTCCTTGATCCAGGTTGCAATCTTGTGGTCCAAGCTGGTTACCTGCTCCTTCATGTGGTCGTGCATCTGCTGGAAGGTGGTATGCTGCAGGGCAGTGGCCTTCTCATGCATTATAGCGGTCTTTTCCTTGAGCCAGGCTTTGACTGGTGCGAGAGAGCTTGTAAGATCCTTCACTGCCTTGGTTTCCTCAACCCACTGCTTCATGTTTGTAACCTTTTCCTTGATTTCCGTGGCAACTTTTGCGGGTGTCTTACTTGGCAACTTATGCAGATAGTCGGTCATTGGGTTGAAGAACTCCTTTACTGCTTCAAGTGTCTTGGATCCAGTACTTGCTTTCTCTGAGTTATAGGCGTCGACGGTAAGAGGGAGAGCCTCTGTTACAGCCACCACCATCAGCGCCACTCCTACAAACCACGAGATATGCATCTTGTTGAATAAATGTATCAAGTTTTTATATTAGAAGTGAATTGTTTGGTGACTACGGCTGATGACTGTCTCAATGTGTTTTGTCTAAGACTTATATACGCCGCTCCCCGCACCACCTCACCACACTCCTCACATTACAATACTGGTGAAGGCTATTAGCCCATGGGAACATAAGGTTACAGGTAACTGCAGAAGGGCTATTCTGCCCTTCATTCTGCATTTAAGGCAGCTCATATTTGATATCGGAACAATATATCAGAAAATGAAGAAACGACTACGTTTCAGTCCCTCTTGGGCCACTAGCAAGTACATTATAGATATCATATCTTCACCCACGTTATTGTGACTCATCATCTGCTCATATGTTGATATAGCATTAATAATCCCTTTGTTATACATTTTCATTCATTTGTATACTTTAATCATGTCACAACTTACTCCTCAACTTTCTAATTCCTGCGATAAACGGTGTCGTCTTCCTCTGTACCCGTACAAATGAATTTATATAAATATGATTTTGTTTTGACCAAAACTGAACTACATAGCCTAAATGAAGCCTAATCAGAGCAAGGTAAAGCCGAAGGTACATCCTTGGTAAAGAGTGAGGCTCCAGCAAGACTTTTTGTACAAGGCCGTGGATAAAGGAAAGTTGCAAAAAATATTGAGGAGCCTATATTGTGCATGAAGTGTCTCCGTTGGGGTCACATGGCTTGAAAATGCCAGTTTGACCCCAGATGTCGGTGTTGTTTTTAGAAGCATGATTCGCGACAGTGTAGAGTCAGGATTGACAAAGGATAAAAAAAATTTGCCATCTTGCTGCAATTGTCGAGACATCCACAATGCTAATTCCTTATGTCCCATGAAGCCCCATGTGAGAGATTCCAAGTCGGCAACCATAAGTAGGGTAAACGAGGTTTCGAAGGAAGGCAAGATCGTACAGCAGAAACAAGGAAGAAACAGTTGAAAGACAACCATAGCCTCTGAACCAACGTTTGGGAGACAGGCATGGCGACGATTAAGGATAGCCCAATGGCAGTAGGAAACAAAGCTGAAAAAGTGTACCCTGGTGGTGATGAGTTGCAGGGCAGCGTCATGGAGTCTGCGGTCGGCACACAGAGCTTGGAACACCTCAAAAAGTTGGACAAGAGGATTGAAGCTCTAGAAAAATTAGGTATGGCAAACAAATGGGGTGTAGTAGGGAGTGAAGTGGGGAATGAAACTGAGGGCAAAGAAAGTAAGGAAGAGGATGGCGTATCACGGATGGAAGAATCTCAGGAAAGTGAACTATCCGCTAATGATAGCAGTGTTCAACCCCGCGGGGAAAAATGTTGATGGAGAAGCTCAGGAAAAATTATTTACAAAAATAGAATTGGAAGACATTATTAAGAATAGAGTTACCTTTGATAGTAGTCGTGGGTGTACAGGTGCTGAGCAAGAAGAAATTTAAAAGTGTTGCGAGTTAAGGCGATATTGTTTCTCAGTGACTTAAAATGTGGGGAGGCTGAGAACATGTTGTTGTTTAAGATTCAGCTACTGGGAACAAAAAGTTGCAAGTAGCACGGGCAATGGTGAGCCCGTAGTGGTACCTATTTGTAACATTAGAACATAAGGATCTTATCATGCTTTCACATGCATTAATCATTTATTCCCACCTTTTGAAGTGAGAAGATTAATTCATTAGCTCCCTCGCCTCTCTAACATTAGTCTAATCGCCGAAGCTTCATTTATCTCTGAAGTTCTATCCCCAATATTCTTTACGTGCAATCATATCATCATTATCGCAGTTACAGTATTTCTTGGGCATCCCAAGATTTTTCTCATGTTATCATTTTGTACCTTGGACAAATCCAAAAGAGCCGTGACGAGGATTCGAACCTGCGTTTCACCCTCGTCACGGCCCTTGTGGATTTGTTCATTTGATGCATCACGCAATTGTGATTTCTGTGTGTAATTTTGTACCTTCTCCAACTTGTTTAGTCTGCCTTTACCAAAACAAGAAAGACGAGGGCAGCATAATCAATAAGAGATCTCACAGTATGACATGTGACTACTATTGGAATGTGAAATGTAAAAATATGATTAATATATGTATACTGTATGGGTTTGTGAGCCTTTTGTGGGACCTTATATAGACGAGGGCAGAAATAGCCTAAGCTACACACAAACATCACACTAACGTGATGCATCAAATGAACAAATCCACAAGGGCCGTGACGAGGATCCGAACCTGCGTCCGGGAGCATCCCAGACGCTGCCTTAATCAACTGAGCTACGACATGGTCAAAGAGTTGAAACCGAAGTTCTACTGAACTTACTGGATCCTGCAGCCTCTCCGAGACACAAACCCGGGTTTTACACAACTCCCCCCATGCACTCGAGCTATGTCAATAGGTTGTTTACCCACTTCGCCCTTACTTTATTACACACAAAAATCACAATAACGTGATGCATCAAATGAACAAATCCACAAGGGCCGTGACGAAGATCCGAACCTGCGTCCGAGAGCATCCCAGACGCTGCCTTAATCGACTGAGCTACGACATGGTAAAACCCTGGTTTGTGTCTCGGAGAGGCTGCAGGATCCAGTAAGTTCAGTAGAACTTCGGTTTCAACTCTTTGACCATTGATTGATTGATGAAGATTAAGCCACCCAAAAGGTGGCACGGGCATGAATAGCCCGTAAGTGGTGGCCCTTTTAAGCCATTGCCAGTATCAAGAGCTGATACTGGAGATCTGTTGAGGTGCGAATGCACCCTGCATGACGGGAGATGTCTCCCTTATGAATGTGTTAAGATGAAGATGAAGCAACCCAAAAGGTGGCACGGGCATAAATAGCCCGTAAGTGGTGGCCATTTTAAGCCATTACCAGTATCAAGAGCTGATACTGGAGACCTGTGGAGGTGCGACTGCACCCTGCATGACGGGAGATGTCTCCCTTGTGAATGTGTTAAGATGAAGATAAAGCCACCCAAAAGGTGGCACAGGCACAGGCTCGTAAGTGGTGGCCCTTTTGAGCCATCACCAGTATCAATAGATGATACTGGAGATCTGTGGAGGTGCGACTGCACCCTGCGTGACGGGAGATGTCTCCCGGACCAAATGGTGACCAGATGGTGTGTGTTTTTGACCATGTCGTAGCTCAGTTGATTAAGGCAGCGTCTGGGATGCTCCCGGACGCAGGTTCGGATCCTCGTCACGGTCCTTGTGGATTTGTTCATTAGCTTAAGCTACTGTATCCTTTTGAGATGTACTTCCTTTTCTCAATGAAATTACTTGAACTTGAACCAGCAAGTATACTTTAGACAAATTGAATAGATCGTATACTAATGACCCAAAGTGGATAACAAAGAATTTGAAGAACCTTATAGGTAAAAAGAGAGCTTGGTACAAAAGGATTAAAATGGGGAGGTCACTTTAGAACAGGAATTCGTACAACTGGTTAGAAATGTTAAAAAAGAGATAAGGAAAACAAAAGAAACTATGAAGTTCGCATAGCAGGGCAAGCAAAGACAAATCCTAAAGGGTTTTTTCAGTTATATCGTACTAAGACTAGGGAAAGGATAGGTCCATTAAAAACTGAGACAGGTCAAATAACAGATAGTGATGAAGAGATGAGTAGTATTTTTAATAAATATTTTGTATCTGTATTTACTAAAGAGGAACTTAACAATATGCCTTCAGCCGAACAAGTCTATGTGGGTGGGGACGAGGACAGGTTGACGAGTTTAGCAGTTACCAGGGAGGATGTTCTTAAACAAATAGTAAAACTCAAACCAAACAAATCCCCAGGGCCGGATGAAGTGTTTGCTAGGGTGCTTAAAGAATGCAAAGAGGAGCTTTGTGACCCACTGTCAACCATATTTAATAAATCAATAGAGTCAGGCAGAGTGCCAGAGTTTTGGAAAGTTGCTAATGTGATACCAGTTTTTAAGAAAGGAGATAGATCACTTGCGTCTAACTATCGACCAATTAGCCTAACGTCTATTGTGGGAAAGTTACTCGAATCTATAATAGCAAATAAAATTCGTCTTCATCTTGAAAAACATAAATTAATAATTGAGTCGCAACATGGTTTTATAAATGGCCGTTCATGTTTAACAAATTTGTTATCTTTTTATTCTAGCATTGTTGAGGCAGTTGATAGTGGTAAGGATTGCGATGTTGTATACCTTGACTTTAGCAAAGCTTTTGATACAGTGCCACATGAAAGACTGATTAAAAAAATAGAGTCTCATGGTATTGGGGGTGCTATATTAAGCTGGATTAGGGCATGGCTATACCAAAGGAAACAGAGAGTTAGTATAAATGGAATCAAGTCAGAGTGGGAAAATGTTGTAAGTGGAGTGCCTCAAGGCTCTGTCCTGGGACCTCTGTTGTTTATAATATATATAAATGATTTAGATTCAGGTTTGAGTAGCAACATTTGCAAATTTGCCGATGATACGAAAATCGGTAGGGAAATTAATTCGGAGGAGGACTCACTATCACTTCAAGTTGATCTAGATAGGGTTTTGAAATGGTCAAAGGATTGGCAGATGCAGTTTAATGCTGATAAATGTAAAGTTCTGAGGTTAGGTAATGATGATAGAGTTACAAGATACGAGCTAGATGGTGTTGTGATTGCGAAGTCGGATTGCGAAAGGGATCTGGGAGTTATGATTAGTAAGAATTTAAAACAAAAGGATCAATGCATAAATGTTCGTAATAAGGCAAATCGGACACTTGGATTTATTAATCGCAGCGTTAGTAACAAGACACCTGGTGTGGTTCTCAAGCTATATCTTGCTCTAGTTAGGCCCCACCTGGACATTCAACAGGACTAAAGGGATCTCAGTATATATACACCGAGAAGCGGGCTACTCCCTATCGGTGTATATCCGTTGCCCCGTATATTCAAATTCAAATGTTTATTCAGGTAAAGTACATACATACAAGAGGTGATACAAAAATTGATAGATTTATAGATAGAGCTAGTACATACAATGGCTAAACCCACTATTACGCAAAGCGTTTCGGGCAGGAAAAACATTAAAGACTAAAACTTAAATATTGTTTACGTCTTGCCAAACTTCCTTTCACTTTTTTGTTATTACTTTTTATTCCCTATCTTTTTCTC